AAAAAAAAACAATTAGATAAACGCGAATCTACATTGCACAATCCGACCGAGAAAAGGAAAGAATAATAATATAAAAAAGAAGTTTCGTGTGGGGGCCGCTAATTGACACAGTCCAATATACGGGAAGTCGGAACGAATCTTACCGCAAATGTCGAGCATTCACGTGGCACTTGTATACGTAAACGTTTGAAACATTGATTGAACCTTCTTTTAGCACGTGTTTGATTTACCACTTCCTTGAGAAAAAATGATCCGGCAGGTGGAAACAGGAAAGTCAAGCCACAAATTTATGGCCGGCTGTGCCAGAATTTTTTTTTTAAGTTATAATATTAGGTTAATGTCTGTTTAAAAAAATTCAGTCAGAAACTCCACTTAAAAATCAGGTGAGTCCTACCTGCTTTTCACTCTGAAAAAACATGATCGTTACTGTAGCCACGCGTGAGAGAGGGCTTCATTTCTTAATACAAATTTTTAGGTAAGAGTCCATTTTTATTTTTTAATAAATTGATAATAAATATATATAATAAATTTATTTTTAACTTGAATTTTAACTCTATATACATGTATTTATTATACAGACTCTAAAAAAAATCGTTATTGAAAATGTTCCCTCTGTAGTAGTACTGTATTTTTTTTTTACGGCTATCCTTAAGTAAGGCTTTTTTATAGTATATAAATAATAGTAAGTTTTTTGTACTGAGTTTTTTTTATTTAGTTTTGGTAAGATAATTCTATTTGATATAAAAATTTTTAATTATTATTTGAGATTGTTAGATTATAGATTAAAAGTGTAGTTTGAATATTAAAATTATTAAATTATTATTAATAAAAATAAAAAATATTTTTATTAAAAATATTTTAATAAATTTATAAGTTAAATTACATTTTAAATATATAGCTAGACTTTTAAAATATTTTATTATATTATTTATATATTATAAAAAAATATTATGTAAAAGGTCAAACCATTTGTATTTTAAAAATGGAGAATATGTTCAACCCTGAACTTCTTTTTA